AAACCTCTAAGGCTCAGGAGAAAGCAGAAAAACGACTCAAGAAGGCCTTAGAGAAGCAGATAGGGTGGGGTGTTAAAGCGGCCAAGAAGCGCAAGCACCTCTGTTCCCACGAAGCAGAGAACAGCTAGACCAAGAGCTGTCAGACGAGGAGGGCTTGTTTCTGGACCAACCTGTTTTTAAAGGGTTGTTCCGCCCTCACTTGTTCAAGGCCTTACTATTTAAAGCGAAGGCCTCAACGAAGTTAGGCACCGCTACCGCTAGGCCAGAAAGGTCTATGGCAGAGCAGGATCCGGCTGACTTGTTCTTTTCAGAGCCAGCCACGGAAACGGAAGCCATTCCGGCACCCCCATTATTTTTTGATATGATCCAGAGACAGTGGGCTTCCCTGGGAACATATCCTAACACGACTTCATATGAGAAGAAGTTTTACAACACGACCCCTGATCTCAACAACCTCCTGCAGGTGCCAGAGGTTGATGAGCCAGTGATAGCCTTAGTATCTCCTTCCGCAGCACTAGCAGAGACGGAGGAGGTGTTGAAGCTGGATGATCGAAAACTTGAGCTTGCATTCCGAAGGACTCACCAGGCTGTGGCCTGGGGAATAAAGGTGGCCATGGTGGTTTCTTTCTTTACCAGGGCATCCCTCCTCTGGTTAAAGTAGATGCAAGAGAGAGTGCCGGCCAGTGATGTCAAAACTCATAAAGAGTTCAACAAAGTAGTGGCGGCGGTAGAATTCACTGCAGATGCTACTGTCAGCTTCTCAGAACTGACATGGAAAAGGGAGGAGAAGCCTGAACATTTGCCTGCTAAATCCCTTTGAAGATTCGGTCTCCTCGGAGATGGGGAGGGGGGAGACATTCCTGTGACCTGCCGAAAAAGGAATCAGGAAAGTGACTTGGAAGATAGCCAATGAGAAGCAGAGAATTGGGGATCGGAAAGGGAGGGATTGGGGGGCAAAAGTCAGTACTGACCGCGAAAAGAGTCAGGATCAGACTGCTGTGCTCGAATAAAGAGAAAATTTCCTTAAAGATTGACAGTTTGGAAGTTCATTTATTTTGAGATAGCATCGAAACCTGACAGCCACACTGACTTCCGCCAGGTTTGGGGTGCGTTCCATTGCCTCTGTAGTCACTGCCAGATACCTGATGTGGCTCAGAAATTGGCAAGCGGACTCCAAGTGGGAATGGAGGCTGGCATCGGCCCCATTTAAAGGGTCTAAGTTATTTGGGGCCTCCTTGGACCCTCTGTTGATAGAGACTAGGGACAAAAGAAAAGTATTGCCAGCCCTATCTAGGCGGTTTGAGAACTGAGCTGCGATCCCTTTCAGGCGGTCTTATTTTCGTCCCTATGGGGGATCGAGTTTCAACTGTGCCCAGAGAGGGTTCGCTCAGGGGCAGGGATACCAAACAACATAGTGCCACCAGACAGATCAAGAGTTCACAGACCGATACAGGACATGCCCCATGAATAAGCGGCCTTTTTGCAGAGGAGGCAATTGCCCCTTTCGTCGATCCTGCTGACTTCAGGGACAGGGCTCCCATTGGTGGCCGACTGGGTCTGTACATGGACCAGTGGGAGCAGACAACCACAGATGTGTGGGTCCGGGAGACCATAACATCCGATCTCTCCTTAGAATTTCTTGTATCCCCCCCCCAAGGGTTTTTGTCCGCTGCCCCATTTCACAGGACAAGAGAAACATTATGGACACGGCCATCCAGTACTTGCTAGAAATTCGGGCGGTGGAGCCCATTCCCATAGAACAACAAGGAAGTGGGTATTATTCCATGTTATTTGTAATACAGAAGGCCTGGGGGAGGGGGCGGTTGCGACCGATTCTGAATTTAAAGGGCCTGAACAAATTTCTGAGGTATCGTTGGTTCAAGATGCATTCTCTATAACCGATCTTGGGGAATGTACAAAAGGGAGACTTCTTGACTTCTTTCGACCTCACGGAGGCGTACTTGCACATCCCGATTTCACTACAACACAGACAGTACCTAAGGTTTTGCTACAATGGCAAACATATCCAATATTGTGCCCTCCCGTTCGATCTAGCATCAGCAACCCGAGTGTTTACAAAGATCTTGGCAGCGCTGGGGGCTTCGCTCAGGTCCAGGCCGGTCTGGATTCAGGATTACCTGGACGACATCCTGGTCCAATCAACATCTTATGCACGAGCGGAGGGGGACTTACAAACTACAGTAAGCTGCCTGCAGTCCCATGGCTTCTCCATCAATGTGGAGAAGAGCCATCTCACGCCGACGAATCGCCTTTTACATCGGGGGGCGATAATCGATACCCTAGATGGTCAAGTTTTCTTGTCCCCAGAGAGATTGCAGAGCATCAGGTATCTGATAGCGCAGATTCGATCCAACAGAGCAATGTCACTAGACTTACTCTCAACTCTATTAGGCAAGATGATTTCTTGCATAAATGTAGTACCTTGGGCAAGGCTCCATGCGCGACCTCTGCAGTGGTTCCTTTTCAGAGGTTGGGCCAGGGCAGTTCCCCAGTCAGAGTTCAGGTACCAGCGAATGTGTTGTCATCCTTACGTTGGTGGGTGTCCAGTTGCATGGAAAAGGGTTGTTATTTCAGGGACCAAGATCGTCTGCTGGTCACAACAGACGCCAGTCTAGAGGGCTGGGGTGCCCATTGCCAAAACGTAGTGGCACAGGGGACTTGGTCAAGGACAGAGTCATGTCGGAGCATAAATTGGCTAGAACTGAGGGCAGCATGTTTGGCTCTCAGGAAATTCAAGGCCCGGATTGCAGGTCATCACGTGCTCCTGTTGAACGACAATGTAGCCACCAAGGCTCACGTAAACCGACAAGGGGGCACGCAATCCACTGATGGAGGAAGCGAGGCTCTTCTGTTGCTGGGTGGAGAAGCACTTAATTTCCATCAAAACGGAGCACATTTTGGGCTCGAACAATGTACAGGCAGATTGGCTGAGCAGGGCCACCATAGTCCATTCGGAGTGGTGCCTGCTGCCAGAATTGTTCAAGAAGATTGCAGTTTGATTCTGTCAGCCGATCATAGACTGGCAACAGTGAACTGCCTTGCTTCTTCTCTAGGTTCCCAGCGCATGGGTTAGAGGAGGTCAACGCCCTTCGTTGCCTTTGGCCCCAGGGACTTAGATGTCACAGACTCAGACTCATCTGAAATTAAATCCACAAGATCAAATCCTAGGTACTTCAAGTGGATTAGCTTAATGGGAGTGCAGTTCTGAATGTATCTAAGCAACGTTTTCTACCAGATAGCTTATGTTCTTGTATATTCAGGGTCACTCTTTCGTTTATGGTCTCATGAAAGAGTGTGTCTACAGTTTCAGAGTATTTCTTGATACTTGGATGATGCTGGTTTTCAAGAGATGATACTAGCAAATTAAATATTTGCAGATGCATCTAATGCATTATTTGTGACATATCTACTGGTCATGTATTTTTAATTGGTTTCTAGTTCTATATAGCATATATGTATTTAGTCTGTTAGCAGTCTTGAGTGTTCTAGGGAGAGAATATGATGATTCTGACTGGTTTATAATGTAATAAAACAGCCCCTCTGCACTTGTGCTGGCCACCCACACAGTCCTATCCACCTGACCTGCATTGTGCCCCCGGACACCCTCCCTGACCTGCATAGCATCTCTTGTGCACTGTTGTGCATCCTTTCAAATTTGTCTGATATCTTTTGGTCACTCTTTCAACCCTCCGTGACCCATGATGAGTCCTGCGCACCTATCCTGCCCTGCCCTCTGGACTATCTCTGCCCTGTATGGCGCCTCTCACATACCCCCTGCACAGTGCCTCTTGAGTGCTCTTTCTAACCCTCCTCCCTACATGACAGCAGCCATGTCAAGTTTCCGAAAGATGCCCTAATTAATTCATGCCTGTAAGCCTGGGACATACAACTTCCTAGTGGCTTCCCCATTGACGTTTGTTGTGAGAAGCTGGCAGAAAGTTGCCTTCCTAATGACTATGGGATTCAGTTAACAATGGTTACCAGGACTACAGGGATTGCCGTCACTAAGTGATGTTGTCATGCTTTATGACTATTGGTTAGCAATGAAAATTCTGGTCCTAGTTGCCATTATAAATTGAGAACTACCTTTAACATCAAGAAAAGCTCTGCAGTATTTTTTAAAGATCTAGAATAAAGAGATGTTTGGTTGTATTTTAAGAGATAATGATACAGTAAGTTTTTAATATTGATTATACTTGCTCGGGATGAAGGGGGAAGTTTCTTTTATTTTTACTTTTTTATCTTTTTCTTTTTTCCATTTTCTGATTTTTATCTATTTTGTACTGTAGATGTGTATGTTTTACTTGTATAATATAATCCTTAATAAAATTAAGGAAAAAAGCATTGATTTAAAAAAAAGTTAAAGACATAAATAGTAGTGCTGGCAAAATGTGCTAAGAAGGATACAGGGATGTTTGTGGAAAGTGGGATTGGAGGAGAAAGAGAAGCAGTAGTAAAGCAAAAGGCAGGGTAAAAAATTGGGGCATGAATGAAAAATAAAGACAAGAAGTAGCATGAAATGCATTAGGGAAAGCAGGGTGATATATACTATTTGAGATCAGATAGGAAAAAAGACAGTATAGCAGTATTTCTGAACTGACAATTTAGTGAGAAATCTAGCGGTGCATTGAAGGGGAGATACAGCTGAGAAGGTGAGGAAGTGTAATAGGGCATAGCTAACCTTTTTTGGACTTCATGCAGCCCATTTTTGTACTATACACCAGTGTTGAGGTATGAAAGGAACTCTTTTTATAGTTTTTATGAGTTTGCAAACTCAGTGTTCAGAAACAAATAACTATCAATTAGAGTATATAAAGTAGACTGCTCTGGTGCAATTCAGATCATTGCTACGTTCCCTAAAAATGTCTTCTGTCTCTTTAAAAAAAAAATATTTTGGGGCATTTATTTTCTAATTATTTGATCAGATGTGGGGAATATGCTTTTTTTGGTGGAATAGTAACTTGATGTCTCTGTTTTAGGACTACCAGGATTGTAGATAAGAATATTTACACTGTACAAGGTGAAATCAATACAGTAATAGGAGCGATAAAACGCAGTGCAAGATGGAGTACTCATGTACGTTTGGTAAGTTACTAGAAATGGAAGAATTGTATTAATTAAATCCAATTTTTTCTAATAGAATTTATCTTTCAGTGTTAAGTATTTAAGAGAAATTACAATAATTAATGATCCTATGTTAATATTTGCAATTTTAATCTTTTATGTCGGACCCTACTGGGTCTTGAAATGATTTCAGAGGAATCACAAATTGATTCTCTAAACAAACCCAAAGGGAATAATAATCAAAAAAAATTTAATTCTACATAAGAGGTTAGAATATAAATTCAGTGATGAACTTGAAGATCTGGTAAATTAAACCCACCATTCTCATAAAGCAATCCTATTGCTTTTGGAAATCAAGGGGTCTTTTCTTTGATTTTATCAATCTGTGCAACATACCGAATTAGCATTGGAATTCCTCTTGAAATGCATCAGTCTACAAGTTAACTTGACTACATTAATCTTGTGACTCAAAGGCAGTTTTAATCAACAATTTATACGCAGTGCAGTCTCATCTATACATTCAGACATATTTCAGTGTATTTTAGGCAAAATAGCATCCCAAGTATTTTTTACAATCCAAGCTAATTGTAAATCCCAATTTTTGATAGTAATCTGTAGCTATTTTATCTATTTTTCTTTCAGTATAACCTAAATATAAAATTCATTTATTTATACAATGTATTCAGAAAATTTTTCAGATCCCCTTCATGTTTGTCAATTTTGTTATGCTGCAGTCTGATTCTACAGTTGTTGAAATTCATTTTTTTCTCATTAATTTACATTGTACCCCATAATGACAAAGTGAAAACAGAATTTTAGAAATATCTATAAATTTATTGAAAAGAAAAAACTGAAATATCACATTGGCATAAGTATTCAGACCCTTGACAACAACACATGAAATTTAGTTCTGGTGCTTCTCATTTCTCTTGATCATTGCTGACATATTTCTACACCTTAAATAGAGTTGGCCTGTGGTAAATTAAATTGATTGGACATGACTTCGAAAGGTACACACAATCCTCACAGCTGACAATGCATACTGTAGCAGACCAAAAGCCATGAGGTCAAAAAATCTGCCTGCAGAACTCACATACAGGATTATTGCAAGGCACAGATCTGGGAAAGCTACAGTAAAATTTCTGCTGCACTGAAAGTTCCTAAGAGCACAGTGGCCTCCATAATTCTCAAATAGAAGAAGTTTGGCGCAACCAGGACTCTTCCAAGATGGAGTGGCTCCATCAAACCTAGTTATCGGAGGAGAAGAACCATAGTAAGAGAGGTAAGCAAGACCCCAATGGTCTTAAAAGCCCACTTGGACTTCTCAAAAAAGCACCTGAAGGACTCTCCAACTGTGAGGAACGAACTCTAAGCCAGCTTTCATGTGTTTTGTACTGAGGAGAGGCTTCCATCTAGCCACTGTGCCATAAAGCCCAGATTGATGGGGGGCTACTGTGATGATTGTCCTTCTGAAACTCTGCCCCATCTCCACACAGGATCACTGAAGCTCAGTCAGAGTGGTCATTGGGGTCTTGATTACCTCTCTTACTAAGACCCTCCTCCCCCGATTGCTCAGTTTGACAGGGCGACCATTTCTGGGAAGAGTCCTGGTTGCGCCAAACTTCTTCCGTTTGAGAATTACGGAGGCCACTGTGCTTTTAGGAACTTTTCAGTTCAGCAGAAATTTTATTGTACCTTTCCCAGATCTGTGCCTTGCAATAATCATGTCTCTGAGCTCTCCAGGCAATGTCAGGTCTCTGTTGGAATGTGCCATCTGAAGCGGGGAAGGAGGCTTAGTGGGGGAATGTTTTGATGATTTCGCTTTTGCTGTAACTGCTTGGGAGCTTGGGGAGGAACATCAGCCCATCTGCACTGGCTCTTTCTCAGCCGATTCCAGCCTGGTATTCAAGGTCACAGCACCCCAAAGACAACCTCTTTTCACCATCATGTCTTGGAGTTTTTCAAAACACCTTTGTGGCATTTCATTGGCTTTGGATGGACAGGGACATTGGGGTGGGGTGGAGGTTGAAGGGGATAGTTAGCCTAATGCTTCGTGTGCAAATTCAGACTCTGCCTGACTTCTCTGCAATCACACTCTCAGTAAAAGTTCCTTTTTTTTTTATTGAAAAAGTTTTCAAATACAAATTTTCCCCCCTTTTTTTTCCCCTCTCCCTCCCCCTCCCTAACCCCCCTCCCCACCCCTCCCCCCCTGTGACTTCTTCATAACAAAAAAAACCCTAATTCATAACAGATTACTTACTCCCTCCTCTAGATATTGACCTTTACTTACTAAAAATATTATTAATATTATAACATCCCCCTTTATCCATACATATCAAAAAAGAGAAAAGAAAGGAAAAAAAAAGACATTATACTATGACATTATAGAATAACTTCTCCACTTTAAAACTATACGATAAGTCCTACTTTAACATTTAATCTTCTATATATATTACTATAACATTTCAAAGCGGCCTTCCCCATAAAATCTAGTTTAACATTTATTCCACTCTATCCATTTCCTCCACTCCCCTAAGTATAACACTTAAAAATCCCTTTTCTTAGACTAGTCAATCTACTAACTAGCTTATTCACCCACTATCATGCAAAATTGCCATACACAACATTTCTTAACATCTTTGATTCACTGCCCACACTACTTAAAAATATATGTCTATATTTTCCATTATATCTAAATAAAAAAAAAGAAAAGACAATGACTTTAAATTTATAATCCATATAGTATCTTCTTTGAGGTCTTTCCACTGGATTGGTAGAACCAACATCCATAATCGGGTAACATAGCTTACTGGTGCAACAGTTTATTCAGGATCTTCAATCATATCTGCCCCCATCAGTAGTAAATATCTTCTTATATGTATAAAAGTAAAAACAACCACCCGAGTGACATTATAATTATATTCCATATAGTAATAATTGTGGGTTTCATCAGGATTATTAATTCCCATCATCGTAGTGGGTAACAACCCGATCTTCTGCATGCCCCAGCATAATTCTCTTGCCTTGTGATTCAAGATAATATAATATGTTTATCAACACAAAAAGAAATTCCAAAATGGATAATTCAAATCCATCAGTTTAAGGCTCGTTTCACGTCCCCAGATTACGGCCATGCAGAGATCTGCCACAAACCTCAGGATGATATTAACCAATACGTTGCCTCTTCTGTATTTACACATAATCGTTCATATTTTAAAATCACTGGCTTCACTGTTGCCTGATTTAGAAATTTCTATTTCTATGCCACCTATTTCTTTTTTTCTTTTCTTTTTGTGGGTTTGGTTTCCATCCTGGTTCCCTTTCTACAAAATATGTATCATCTGGTCGGTTTTTATTCTGCTTTGTAGATTGGTCTTGTTGGTTTTGCTTTTGTATCTCATATTTCTTTTTTATCCCTTGTATATCCCCTAATTGGTTTCCATGTTTATCCTTGCCTTGATAAGTCATCACATTAAGATTAGATGCCTCTTCTCTCAAATTTGTAGATAGTCCAGCTGGGGTATCCAATAAATCCAAAGGCAATTCATCTGGTACAGTCTCTGTAATTCGATATTTTACCTTTATTTCCGGCTCCTTCTGCTTATCCTGTATTATACCTGGAGATGTTAAATTCATTTTCAACCTATTTTGATAAAATTCTCCCGCTCTTTCAACAGTATTTAGCTGATTTCTTACTCCTTGGTATCTAAATATAATACCAACTGGGGCGTCCCACCTGTAGGAGATATTTCTCTTTTTTAACTCATTCACCAGAAAACCAAATTTCTTCCTTTCCATCAATATCTTAGGTGGGAGTTCCTTGTAAATCCAAATCTTTCTTCCATACAATTGCAAATTAGAATTGAAGGAATTTTGAACGATATTATTCCTAATTTCCTTGTCTGTAAAATAAATCACCACATCTCTAGGCAATTGCCTTTGCTTAGCAATCCAGGAGTTGATTCGATAAGCTCTGTCGATCCTACAAAACACTTCGTCAGGTTGAACCTTTAGAATCCCAGCTAGAAATTCAGAAGATATTTCCCTTAAATCATCTCTATTATTTTCCTGCAAACCTCTTAATCTTATCGCATATTCTGTGAAATTATATTGTACCATTAAAATCTCTTTTTCAATCTTCTGTTGCAGATTTTCTGCATTACCATACTTTTGATCAGCATCCATTTTAGGTTTTTCTTCTAAGCTATTATCCTGAGTGTTTGTCAAATCATTTTCAATTTTTTGAATTCTATTGTCCAATTTATCTTGAATTTCTTCCATTTTAGACTCTAGTACATTAGTATTTGTGTCCAACTGCATCATAAATCCTGTAAAACCATTAACCACTTTTGAGAATTTTTTCTCCAAAAAATCAAACTTAGATTTCACCAATTCTTTAATTTCCTGCTTAAATTTTTCAAATTGCTGATTCACAATCTCCTCCCTTCTTTCAATCTCCTCTATAAAAAATTCTATTATATTAAAATCAGGTTTCTGAGACTGAAGAATTAAGACTTGTTCCTTTAAGTTGTTGGTGGGGGGATCCCCCCCCTTCTTGTTTATCTGACTTTATGAGTCTCAGTGCCATGTTTCCGCCCAGGCAGGCTTTGTTAAAAAAAAAGCAAGGAAAAAAAAAAAAAAAGGACTTCTTTCCAATCAACAACAATATCAGGTCTCCAAGGGAAAAAAAAAGAGAAAAAGACACAGGAGCGAAGTTTTGTCTACAAATGTAGCCAGTGGTATTTATTCCGCTACATTGTAGTAATAGAAAACGGAAGGACTTTCCCTTTCAGCCTCTCCTCCAGCCAACGCCATTTTAAAAGGCTTTTTTTTTTTCCTCTTTCTTTTCCTCCTCTCTCTTAAGTAATTTCTTTTTAAAAAATCAGTAAAATACTTGCGGTTCAATATTACAGGTCCAGCTCACATTTTCTTTGAGTAGTCTGTTAAATTTGCAGGCTTGCTTTTGACGCCTGGCTCTGCATCGGCAGAGGTCTCCCAAAGCCCGGAGCGGCGGCTGGGGA